AGATGTTCCTAGTCTGGTTTAGCCACTTGTAGTCAAGTTTAGATGTTCCTAGTCAGATTTAGCTGCTTTTAGTCACGTTTGGATGTTCCTAGTCAGATTTAGCTGCTTTTAGTCACGTTTGGATGTTCCTAGTCAGGTTTAGCTGCTTGTGTTCAAGTTTAGCTGCTTGTATTGAAGCTTAGATGTTCTTAGTCAGGTTTAACTGCTTGTAGTAAAGTTAGATGTTCCTAGTCAGGTTTAGCTGTATCTAATCAAGTTTAGCTGCTTGTATTATAATTTAGTTGTCCCACATCAGATTAACTGTATGTAGTTAAATGTAGCAACTATTATTCAAGTGTAGCTGTCCCTAGTCCTTTTTAGCTGCTTGTAGTTAGGCTTAGTTGTCCCTAGTCAGGTTTAACTGCTTTTAGTGAAATGTAGCAGCTCTTAGTCAAATTTAGCTGCTTGTAGAGAAGTTTAGCTGTTCCGAGCCAGGTTTAGCTGCTTATAGCCCCTAGTTAAGTCCTGAACATCAGATACAACAAAATTTAATCAATACTGATGTAAGTCTTAAAATTTTATCTTAATAAATATTTCAGCAAAATATAAAACTTCTGCCATCTAACTGTTGAAATTGCATACATGTGGATGCTTGTATTATCAGATCAACCGACATTTTTAGACCAGTGTGAAAAATGTGTTTATGTTTTTAGTATTGTATATGAATGGTTTTTCAGTAGTATGCTCATTTTTCCCTTTTAGAGTCTTTTATCAAATGTTGCTTTTGGCCTTGGGTGTAACTACTTTGCCCATTTTGAGGAAGAGGGTGTTGGTGTCCAATGGTGGAACTTTTCAACAAGCACCCTACCCATCGACAGTTACAGCTTGGCACATTGTATGGGAATGTTACTTTTAGATGGTGTTATCTATGGTATTTTGACCTGGTACATTGAAGCAGTCTTCCCAGGTTAGTTAATCATTACTTTTTATTTCTATTTCACATTAACGTTTGGTTCCTGTTTAAGATACTTTTCCTATTGTAAGTTTTTATGATAATGTTTGTATGACATTTAGCATGTGGTGTTACTTCTTAACCAAACATAAAGAAAGAGACTGTTTTGTTTGATTGTCTATGAAATAGATAATTTATTTGTTAAAAATTGTAAAGACAATGTTTAAACTATGTCAGAAAACTGACTGGTCAAAATATTATATGTTTAATTAAACAGTATGAATGCTATTGTGCTTTTGTTGTTTCATCTCTAAGTTTTATTTTTACTTATTCAGTAAATTAGTGCCTGTAGTAAAATGAAAATACATAAACAAATCATCAGTCATGTTTGTTTTTACTGCAGACACTAATATACTGAATATTTAAAAGTAAACATGATTGAGGACCTGTTTGTGTATTTTTATAACTTGTATAGATATTGAAGTGTAAATGCTACTTTATTTGTAACTGAATGTGATTCAGAATCAGTGGTGTATCTGTTAACACAACACAGAATGCCATTGAAGCATGATTTGTAATTTAGGAAAGTATGGAGTGCCTAAACCCTGGTATTTCTTCATGACTTCATCGTATTGGTGTGGAACAGTGAAAGTTAAACCAGTTACATCAGAAGATTCAGAAAGTGGAAGTCATCATTCTCAAGGTAGGAAAACTTCTGTTCTCATAGTTTTTGTGCATAGACTTAACCTTTAATTTACTGACTTGATTTTCTACCATTCACTGTTGATAGGGTCAACATATTTCATTATAATCAGTAATTTTATGTTTCTTTCCCACTATAACAGTCATTATAAACAAAATGACCAAAACTATCAGGTAAAATAACTAAAATGCATGGGAACTCTCACCAGTAAAAATGGGATTAGTTGCAGGATTAGTTATATATATTTTTACACTTTTTTTGTGATCCATTTGTCAATAAGGACCCTGATATCAACAAGGTTGTGGACCCAAATGGATCCATAATTAATTTAGAAAAATATGTCTTAAAGGGTAATTCTAGGAGTAAAAGAGTTCCTGTATAAAACATTACTTTGCTTGGAACTATAGGCACATCAGTTGGGTAAGATATCAGAGGACATTGGTTGGGTAATGATATTAGAGAATGCTTTTGTATACATCAGTTTGATATGATATCAGAGAGCATTATTGTTTACATCATTTAGATTAGAAATCAGAGAGTGTTATTGTATACATCAGTTGGATAAGATATCATAAAAGATCAGTGTTCACATTTGGATAAGATATCATAAAAGATCAGTGTTCACATTTGGATAAGATATCATAAAAGATCAGTGTTCACATTTGGATAAGATATCATTAAAAGATCAGTGTTCACATTTGGATAAGATGTCAGTTTTCTCCAGAATGTTTTGTCATAATCTTTTTAAGATTGTTAAACTAATTTTACAGACTATGCACATTGAAACAAACAAATTCACATATAATTTCTCCAGAATTTGTTGTTGTAATCTTACAAACTATATACGCTCATCAAGAATATGTTTATATTTAATGTAAGTGTAAGATGTTCAATCAGTCATCTAGAAGCTGATTTATCTATCTTTAATTAGTTTTGAGTTATTTGGTGTATCAAGGAAAGTTTGTGAGAAAAATTTTTTATTTTTAAATTAAAGTTACCTCTTTATTACTTTAAAACAGTCAGTTCAGATTTTGAAGAAGAACCAAAAGACTTGCTTCTAGGTGTGTCTATTCTACATCTGAGTAAAGTCTACAAAAATGGACTGAAACCAGCAGTGGACAACCTGAGCTTAAATTTCTACGAAGGACAAATAACCTCATTTTTAGGTCATAATGGAGCTGGTAAAACCACAACTATGTAAGCTTCAGGTTTTTATTTGTTTTGTAACACCAGCCATGTAGATGTAGATCTAATAATTATCAAGAGAGTTAAATAAATACTTAGTTAACAAAATTAAAATACGAATTTTATGTAAATTGGAATCTAATAATCATAAAGTAGTATAAAGTGCTGTAAGTTAGAATTTGTGATACTACTGAAATTACACTTTCATATAATTCACATATAAATAAAATATAAATTTTCTGTTCATTAGAATTGGTAAAAAAAAAAAAACAAACAGCAAGATGGAATGTTCAGCACCAATTAAACAATTTTTAGATTTTAAGTTTAATAAATCTTTGGTCATTGTTGATTTTTTTTATCACCAGAACTGTAGTGGTATGATTCAAGTAACTTTCTCAGTATGACAACAAATTTTCTGAGGGAGAAAACAAGGGTTAGAATGATTGCCATGGTGGCTCTTTATAAGGAAAAAGGTTATTTTGCACATCATATAAATAGTACAACAACAATGTCAGACAAGATTTACACAAGTGAACTCTGCTTATAATTGCACAATGTGTTAATTAGAAGTGTTGATAAACTTGGTGGATGATGCATAGATAACTGACTTCATCTGCTTTATTTCTTGCCACAGATCCATTACTTGGCTTATTACAATTTTGAAGTATAAATAGTTTATTATTTCTATCTTCCCACTGATTTTCTCCATAATTATTTAGTTGATTAAATTATAATTTGTTTTTATTTAAGCTCCATCTTGACAGGCATGTTCCCCCCAACTCTGGGAACAGCCAAGATATATGGTTGTGATATTCGCACCAATATGGATATCATCCGGAAGAATCTAGGAACTTGTCCACAATACAATGTGCTCTTTGACCAGTGAGTTGAAACCTATATTCTGAAAACTGAAAACTATTACTTACTTCACTTTATGTAATAATTTTGTTTCAACAATATTGATAATTTGTTTATACTGTTTTTGGTTTGTAAGCAAATGTGCTTTTACTTAACTTTTTTTTTTTTTTT